AGAGGTCCTGCTCCAGCTGTTAGAAGCCTTACTAAGAGACCAGGCTACACAATTGTTACACACATGCAGATCCGCTGATGCAGGCTCCCTAACTGTCGGTCCAGTGTACATGAACTCTCACGAGTTCAGATCTGCCGTCTCTATGGGTTCTCTCATCATGACCCCCCTGGCTTATACAATCCCTCCTTCTTTTCTTCTGCAAAACTCTCAGAGCTCAGTGCAGTGCTTGTTTGAGGACTGGGGAGGGCATTCTTGCAGTTTCCAGAATAAGGGAAACCTGTGCCAACTCAGGATGCTCCAGTAGGGCATCTTGTTCTTGTTTTTGGAGGGTATGATGGCTGTTCTTTGTATCAACTTGACTACATCCGGAACTAAAACCTAAGTGTCTGGGCACACTTGTTGGGATTATTTTCTTAATTAAATAATTTGAGATGGGAAGACACACTTTTAATCCAGATCTTTTGATGTGGGAAGATCTACCTTTAATCTGGGCCACACCTTGTGCTGGCGACCTATATAAATTACAAGGAAGAAGGAAGCTTTCACTCTTTGCCCGTTTGTTCTTGCTGGTAAGTCCATTCCTTCCCTGGCACTAGAGCCTGCCTCTTTGGGATTCCAGTGTATACTGAAGGCCAGCTGAAACATTCAGCCTTGTGGACTGAGCAACTACTGGATTCTTGGACCTTCTGTTGGTAGACAAGTCATTGTTGGACCAGCTGGACCACAGCCTGTATGACATTCTAATAAATTTCTTTTTTATGTATCTACTTGTTCATCCTACCAGTTCTGTTCCCCTCCAGAAGAACCCTGACTAATGCAGAGGGGGTTGTTGTGTATGGGGTGTGGTGTGGGAGAGTGTGGGGTGGGGGGGTATGGGTGTGTGGATGTGTGTGTGGTGGGTGTGTGCATGTGTATGTAGGGGTCTGGGTGTATGTGTGCATGCATGTGTATATGTGGGGGGGGGGGGCTTTCTGATCAATTAGCCATAGGGAAGGTTGCCTAGAGATTTTCATTTAATAACCTTGGTCCTGGGATTCTTGAATTATATGCTGTGAGCTTCTTTAACCCATTGTTCAATGGAACCTCTTGGTCCTGTAATTGCTCCTGAATCTTTACAGAGACTCTCAGAGATTCTTCTGCTCTGACTGGGATGTAGACTCGTAGAATGTTCCTTCTTAACACAGTCATGTTGATGAGGGTTGTGCAGCCTAAGAACTCCTCTGTGGAGCCCTGTCTCATTTGGTCAGTCTTCTGTAGGTGCTCTGTAGGGCCCATGACTCAGAGTGCTGCCCACTCTTCTGTCCCTGTGGGTAGTGAGATAATATGCTGTCAGGGATCGAGATACCCAGATGGGGTTCTTGAGTCTGTCACCAGCTTACAGAGCCGTCTGATGCAGGCTCCCTAACTGTTGGTCCAGTGTAACCTCGGACATGGTTCCACATTTGTCCTCTATCTGTGGGAGTTCTGGGGAGGAAATGACAGGTCTACCATTCACTCCTGGAGCTGGTATGTGGTCCAGAGGCCGATCACATCCTTTGTCTGGTCCTCTCGCAGGTTCTTGACCATAATTGGTCTCCAAAGTTCCTGCCTTAGGCAATATTCACTGAACCCTTGAGCAGACATGTGGCTGTTAAGTTCCTGTCTTTTGGGTCTGAGTTAACTTCAGTTCTTTCTATAAGATGACAGGAGAAGGAGTCCTTCTTAGTCACTGTAAGAGAAAACGTTGTATGACTGTGACAGATCCAGCAGCAGTCTCCTGCAGGTCTTGAAGGAGGGTGCGTGCCCGTGTGTGACATGAGTTGGAGCCTGCCTACATATGCACAACTTTGTACACTTGCTTTGGCAGAGCCAACATCATTCTTTCTGTTTAGCCACTCCAGGGAAAAATTAAAGCAGCACCTCAAGGCCGGATGTGGTGGTACACACTTAATCCCAGCACTCTGGAGGCAGAGGCAAGAGGAGCTCTATCACTTCAAGGCTAACGTGGTCTACATAGCAAGTTCCAGGACAACCAGGCCTATAGAGAGAGATCATGTCTTAAACGAACCAAACACCTCAGCGTGGGTTCAGTAACATCTAAGTGTATGTGGAGTTGAGGCTGATTTAATGGGGGGGGGGGGAATGAGGTACTGTGGGGAGGGAAGGGGAGTCTGAGAGCCACTGATTGTTTCAAGATAACCTTCTTTTTCACCTGTCCCTAGATCCCCAGAAGTGGGCGGACTGCTCTAAGTGGTCCGGCAGGCCTAGTTTTGAATGGGAACACTGGATGGCAGCAGTGTCAAGATACCTTCCAATCCTACTGCACTAATTCTGTGTATGTAGTTTGATTGGTCATTAGCCTGGCAAGCCAGGCTAGGTAGGCTCTTGCCTGGCCCTCAGGAGTACATGAGACCCAGAAGTAAACCCATAGAGGACAGTGTGAAGAACCCCAGACTTGGGGCCTTCTGGTCTTGAAGCCTTGGTGGGGTTCTCACTTGGGCCCAGTCTGCACCATCTTTCTCCACATGAGGGAGTTACAGCCCTGAGCAGACAGATGAGAATGTGGCTGAAGGTAGGCACGGTACACTTGGGTTAGGATCAGGGCTGCACCGAGAACCAAGCCAGTAGGGACTAAGTTCATATAGGGTGGCAAAGGTAGACATCTTGGGGGAAGACCTAGATGATGGGAAGGAGGCGGCGAGGAACTGAGGCCAGGCGGTGGCAGACTGTGGTAGAACCTTAATTTCACCCTAGGTGTGAGGGGAAGTGACTGCAGCGTTTTGAAGTGTGGAGTGACCTGGTCATAGTCATATTCCGCAAGTGATAGTTCTGCATCTCAATTCACCATGATGGAAGATGCTATAAAACTGCACAGAAGACTGTTTCTCACTGTTCCCTAAACAATGTAGTATAACAGCTATGTGCACAGTGCTTGCATTCCATTCGGTGTACTAAATAGTCTACATGAGGGAGGATGTGTGGCTTACTCCAGGGACTTTGAGGACCTGAGAATTCTGGTATGTACTGAGGGCGTTAAGGCCAGTCCTTTGGATACCAAATGATAGAGGAGTTTTAAATGATGGTTCCAGTTTATTGTAGGCCTGGAAGGAGGTAGATTATGGACAGAGGGGAGCTGAGAATCAGGAAGAAAACTGGCCACACACACTCTTAAGGTTTGAAGGTAAAATGAGCAGAGGGTCCCAGTTGGTGACTATGAGGCCTCTTTCCATCTTGTGAGTTTTCTCCAAAATGACTAGTGAACAGATGTAGTGGTGTTTAATAAGGAAAGGAGCTGGGGAAGAAGGACTCTGGAGGCCAAGAGGAGATGGTAGATGTGAGCTGTGAGGCTGATGGTCCTGGATGTGGTAGTATTGAAAGCTATGTGATTGCTGGGTCATCATGCCCCACCCCCAGTGTTCCAAGGGTCTTTGACTGAGCCATTAGATTTACCATCATTTAGTGGCATCTGTAAAGGAAGGATGAGCGGCAGCAAGGGAGGAAGACAGCCCCAAGCTATGTATGTTTGGTGTCTCTGAACCTGATTGAAGGAGGAGGAGGAATGACCAACAGTGACCTTACTTCTGATGAGGTCAGATGAGAAAAAGGCCTCCACTCTGCTGAAAGACAAGTCAGTCACTGGTTGCCTTAAGGAGTAGTAGGGTGGCCTTTTGCTTTACTTCCCATGCCATTGTGAAACTGATGGAGAGAGGGGATATAGAGTCCAGGAAAACAAAGACCTTACTGCTATACCACACTGGGTTCTTAGGATGGCTCAGGGGACTAGTCTTATAGCTTCAGAATGCTCACCCAGTATCTGCTTCTAAGAAGAAACAGTGAACAGCTGAACCAAGGCTTCCCTCTGCCATGTCTCTTGATCTTAGCTTTCTCTGGGTGCCAGTGTTATGCTTTGTAGAATGGAAATGTTGAGGACCTGGCCTGACTTCATCTGTGAATGCCAGCTGAACCAACCGTGGTAAGCTGTGAGCCCTCAGAGAGCCACAACCAGATATTAGGCCTGTGAGGATTTCGTGACAGTGACCTGTGATTTAGTGAGCACCGAAACCTCCCAGGGTTTTCATCACAGGGCTTTTCCTTCCTGTTCCAGCTACATGGATCTGGTATTGAATAAAATAGGAAGAAGCCATTTAAAGTTGGAGAATACCACTTGCAAAGTTGAGTCATAGAGAAACCTAGCGCTTACTTACTGTGAGGTCCCACTAAATGGCATTGAAATGCCAGCATAGTGTAAAGTAGAGAATAGTGAAAAAACCAACAACAGAACAGGCAGCTCCATTTGCAGAGCACGGGGTATCGACCTTTATATGGTAAAAATCCACTCTGCTTTAGGAGTGTGTGGTGTATTTGGGTCAGTGAGCGACGGTAGTGGGGAGGTTGAGGTTACAGTGCCTCTCTTCTGCTTAATGTGGCTTACCTTAATTTATCAGCTAAGACCCTGCTATTTCCTGAGCATATGTGTATCTGTCTCATGCTATGTGCAGTTGTGATGAGGAGACTCCGCTCTGACCAGTGAACACGTTGAGAACCTGCTTGCCTGTGTTTGGAGTCTGAATCCGGGGCTGTGGGACTGAGATGGGCAACAGGTGGTCTTGGGTTGTGCTTTTCCCTGTAGCTTTGTCTTGCAGCTGGCCTAAGCCGTGCAGATCTCAGCTGAGTCAGAGGCCTCCGATAACCCTGGCAGTCACCCGGAGTACAGGGTCTTGCACACTGAAGTGAGTTGAGGGTGAAGGTGGACAGGAAGAAGAAACAGTCTCTTGTCAGCGTGAGGCTGTCTGTCTCTCTAAGACTGATCTCAGCATCCTTACCTTGCCTTTTTGATCTTGCAGCCATCTCAGGTAGAAACCAGCCACCGGCCGTTCTGTCTGCAGTCTCCATGGCGCTTTCATCGCAAGATTCAGATGCCACACTGGACAGGAGACAGCTCACTCGACTAGAATGTAGACTTTGTTTCTAGTGCTGGTTTCTGATCTCTCTCTTCTCTTTCCCTCCCTCTACCCCTGCAGTTGGCTGGCGTTGTCTTCCTTGGAGTCGGGCTGTGGGCATGGAGCGAAAAGGTAGGTGGAACCTCGGTTACCAGGCAGCCAGGCCTAGAGCCATTGGACTTGCATTGTTCCCTCCTCTAGCCTGCTCAGTAGGCACTAACTGTGCAGTGAAAGGTTTGTAGCATTTTAACCCCCAGAAAGAACTTGCCTCTAAAAGTTGGCTCTGCTCCTGGAGGTTGTGGACAGTTAGGCCAGTAGTGGAAGAGTACCTGCTGGGCTTGGCAGCTGTGCCCAAGGCAGGGCCTGGGGCTGCCTGCTAACCCTTTCTGTTATTTCTGGGAACAAGTGAACAGGTCCCTGTGCACAGTCATGTTTACTCCTTAAGTGCTTGTCCTGGCCTACAGAACAAAGGAAGCAGATAGAGCCTGGTTCTATGCCCCTGGCTTTCTAGGGAGGAGGTCAAGCACCTGTGTGCCGCTTGCTCGTCTGTGAGGAAGGAGAAACCAAGCTCTCGTTGTGCAGCTAGACAAGGGGGCACTTGGTACTCTAGGGGGTCAGAGCTCCAGGGGCAAGGTGGAGTCCTGGTGCTCACCTTACCCTATGAAAGGTTAGTGCTTGTAGCTTATAGGTGGGAAAGCTAGAATTCTTTCAGGAAGGGGGAGCAAGCAGGACCCAAAGCTGAAGCACCCCTGTTTCTGTGGTGGAACCTGCTTTTGCTTCCAGAAAAAGGAAGCAGACTTTGGTCTATGAGCTTTCATGTGATGGTCTTAGGAGCAGAATTGGATATTTCCAAATTTCAAGGAGGCTTGTGAACCGCTGATGGCAAAAGCTGCTGTACAATACAAGGTCTCTGTCCTAGTGACCCACAGGCAGTAACCCATGCCTAACAGTGCCACCATGTGGCCATGTTTGGGATTGCAGTGGACTTGACCTGTATGAGCCATGATCCTGGAGCTCCCTATGTAGCTATAGCTATCTGTTTTGGCAGCTTCCCCAACTCCCCCTGCTTTGAATATCACAGAATCTGTCCGTTGTGGTTGCCACTAGTTATATATAATTATTTTTAAATATTGCATAAATACATATATCTTTTTAAAGATTTTACTGCTTTTTTGTGTGTGTGTGTGTGTGATGTATATGCATGAGTAGAGGTCAAAAAACAACCTACGGGAGTAAGTTTGGTGCTCTTTCTTCTACCATGTGGGTCCTAGAGATTTAACTCAGGTTGCCAGGCAAGGTAGCAAGTGCCTTTACCTGTTGAGCCATCTCAGTAGTACCTGACTATATGTATTTGAATAAAAATGATAAACCAATTCTTATTTGTCCCTAGCCCCTGCAAGAACAACGGTGGTTCTCTTTGAACCGTGCTGATAGGACAGCTCCATCATAGAAAGCTCTCCAGGCAACACTAGTCCTTCATTTCTCCTTGCTGAGTGTGTTTCCTCAAAAATGGTCATTTTGAGGCTGTTTTTAGCCAGTTTGACCATAGGCCATTGGACTCCACTTCTCTGAGGCCTGGCCAAGGTACCCTACGGGCCATGGAGGAATCTGGGTCTGGCTCACAGGAGCCCCCATCTTCAATGTGGACCAGGAACTTCATGGGAAAAGTGTCTGGAGGCTGAGGTGGACAAGGATACTAACTAGAGTTGGGGCCTCTTGGAAGTGTTTAGAGCACACTCTGGCCTGGCTCTTGATCTCTTGAGAAGCAGGCCCCTGCCATAGCTGTTGACAGAGTTTGTCCCAGGGCCTTGACTCCATTCCAAGGGCATTGCTACCTTGTATCCTCTGCCTCTTCCAGGGTGTGCTGTCCGACCTTACCAAGGTGACCCGGTTGCATGGAATCGACCCTGTGGTGCTGGTCTTGATGGTGGGCGTGGTGATGTTCACACTGGGCTTCGCAGGCTGTGTGGGGGCTCTCCGGGAGAACATCTGCCTGCTCAAGTTTGTGAGTGGTCCTGGAGTTGATGGTGGGAGGCGGGAGATGTGCTGGGCTAGGGGTCTGGGCTTACATCTTTTCTGACCCAGGCAGTAGATGCAGGGAGGAGGCCTTTGAACCTCTGTCTCACTGGAGGGAAGATTTGGGGAGAAAAGCCCAGATGATGGTTCCTCACCCTAGGAGAATGGGGTTTGCTGTGCCCTCCCATAGGAGCCAGCTGATGCAGAGGTTCTACCTGCCTCCTTTGCCTGATGGCTCCCCCTAAAGGGAGTTCTAAAGGGATTGTTTGTTTGCTGCTCACCTTTGCCCTTCCTGGCTAAGATCAAACCATGTCGCCAGTCGCATTAAGAAAACATTTCCTTCCTCCTGGGGGTGAATCTGTTGGATGTAATGTAGAGTTCTTAATTTTCTGGCAGAATTATGAATTGCTAAAAGTTTAGTTTTATATTTAGATACGACTTCATTTCTAAATGTATTTAGTTAAAATTAAATAGCACCTGGTGAGGCAAACTCTTTTATTTTCTTTATGATTTATTATTTGTTGAGTTTATTAGGTCAAGCTTTTTCATCTGAAAAGCAGAGCACACATTTTTCTAGATCTCCTCCCCCTTCCAAACACTGTGTTTTGCACCTCATGTCCATGTGAGCAGACTGTGTGCACGTGTTTGTGCACGCTTGCGATTCCTCTCCAGTTTTCCTGCGCAGGCTCCTTTCTGTTTCCTAGATGTGACAAAGCTTCTTAGCATCCTGTATTGCTGTAAGGCCACAGATAGTTTCATCTGTGCCCCAATGGCTGCACGGGTCCCAGTAGAATGTCACTACTGCCCGCCTGCGCAGCCATGCTTCTAGAGAGGCCTGCGTGTGGCTGGCGATCCTGCTTGACACATGCAGAGTGGGTCCTGATCATACTCTACCTCTAGAGTGGTAGGGAACTCAGATGCCCTCTGTGTTTTAGTCTCAGTTTTTTCATTCCTAAAGGGGAGTGGAGGGTTAGGATGGTAGTGTGGAGGGATGGGAGCAGATAAAGCCCAGGTGGAGGCTCCCTGTGGCAGCAACTGACAAGGCTTCTTTTCCCAGGGTGGGGGAGGGGAGTGAGGTCTGCCTCCCAGGAAATGGTGGTTTGGACTTTCCCTCCCTCCCTCTCTGCTCATCTCAGTTACCAGCCATGGTAACTGAGGCATGAGTAGTGGTAAACCCCATTTATGGGGATGAAGTTCTGTGCAGCGGGCGGTGGCTCTGGGTCTAGTGGGGTGCATGGGTTTGCCAGGCTGATGACGGCTGACTCCCCCTCTCTTGTGCCCATGCAGTTCTGCGGGGCCATTGTGCTCATTTTCTTCCTGGAACTGGCCGTGGCTGTGCTGGCCTTTCTGTTCCAGGACTGGGTGAGGGACCGGTTCCGGGAATTCTTCGAGAGCAACATCCGATCCTATCGGGACGACATTGACCTACAGAACCTCATCGACTCCCTTCAGAAAGCCGTAAGCTCTGCTCCTCACAGGCCTCCTGCTGGAGAATGCCCTTTGCCACCTCTGGTCACCCTGTGGTGCCCTGCAGCTGAGTGGGAATGAGGCCTTCCCTGCTCAGTGGCTTTTCTGCCACAGCATGGCAGGGGGTGTTATGGAGCATCCCCTCTACTTCTGGTCAGCTCAGTCACAATTCTCCCCAGGACCTTGGGTCCTGTGGATGGAGAGGGGATGTAGAGGATAGAGCTCCTCCCCCAGGCTTGTGACTCACCATAGGAGCTATTCCTGTCCCCTTCCTCTCTGGGACCTTTTCTCCTTCCTGTTCTTGAAGGGCAAACTGCCTGGAGGAAGCCTTCTCTCGGTGGAGGGCTGTGACCTCTCAGAAACTTTCCCCAGGGGGTTGAATAAGCAGAGCTGTGTCCCTCAGCCTTCCTGCCCCTTCCCCTTGTCTGCAGCTGCACCTGGAAGCTTGGATCACTGGCTGCTGCAGCCCCTGGCATGAACCTATTGCCTGCCACAGTGGCCTGTTAGATCTGCCTCTCCCAGAAGCTTGGCTTCCAAAATGTCTTTACTGTGGAACACTTGGTTCCGAAGAGAAACCAGAAAGCACTAAAAATAACTGACCCACTGTTATTAACCAAAACTTGTTTACCCTGTTGCATGCGTCCTGGGTGCCAGCAAAACCGGTTTGTGCAAACAGAGAGGCTCCCCTGCCTTCTCTGACTTGGGAGGATCCTGCTTTTTAGCCCCCTGCAGATGGCCTTGCTGCCCTCTCTCTTCCATTTCTTTCTTTTGTGTTCATATGGCATGGCCTGCTAGTTTCTAGCACTTTCCCTGCTCTTTCCTAAGTGATGTTGTCTTCCTGTCTCCTGTCTGTCTTTTTTGAGACAGGGGGCACAGGGTCTTGCTGTGTAGCCCAGGCTACTCTCAAGCTTACCCTCTGATTATTGAAATTAGAGGAATGTTTGTGCTCTGCCAGGCCCAGCTCTTCTAGAAATAAAAAAGGATCCAGTAAGTTTTAGGCCTTAGGATGACTTAAATGGTCACTAAGTCATTAAAGCTTCTTGCATCGTGGAGGAGCGTGGGTGGGGAAGATGGGATTTTCACTAGAAAAGTAGGATGTGGAGGAGGGAGAGATTGCTCTTGGCCTCTAGGCCAGTCTCAAAGGTGAGTGTAGGAAGGAGCCTGCTGAGGCTGGGCCACTCCCTCAGGGTCTGTTCACGGTGTGCTAGGGCTGCACCTCTGTAGGCTGATGAGGACTTTTGTCAGCTGCACATTGTACTGGGGAGTGGAAGGCCGTGGCCCCAGGTCAAGGCAGGAGTTTAATGAGTTACTGTTGATGCTCACCCTAGTCCTACATTTTCAGCAGCTGTGACCGTTTACCAGGGAGGAAGGCTTGTCTCTCAGTGCTCTCTAGATTAGGAGAGGGGTACATCAGTGAGCCTTTAAAGGGGAGGGAGTGTAGCTTGGGTGGGTTCTGGCAAGTGGCATGCCTAGACTCTGTGAGCCGCACAGAGGAGATGGCATGCCTGCTGCTCCTTCCTAGCAGTGTTATTCAGTGTCTCTGTGTCTGGTAAAAGGGAACATGCTCTGCCATCCAGAGACACCTTGGGTTGGCTAAGTGACCCTGGCCTTCCTCATGCGGTTCTTGGCTTTTGCGATTTCAGAATCAGTGCTGTGGGGCCTATGGCCCTGAAGACTGGGACCTCAATGTCTACTTCAACTGCAGTGGTGCCAGCTACAGCCGAGAGAAATGTGGAGTGCCCTTCTCCTGCTGTGTGCCAGATCCCGCGGTGAGTGGATGTCCCTTCCCTAGTCCACTGCCAGAGTCCTCCCGGCTGCTGATGGAGTGTGGTGCGTTCCTTCCGCTCCCTCCATCCACCTCCGGTCCTTGCAGCTCTGAAATACTGTGCACGCATTCGGGGAAACCTCTTAGTGGTGCACCTTGGCTCTGTGTGGGGTAAAGGAGGAAGAAAGCCGATCTTTTTCAAGTGGTGCTCTTGGCCCTTACTGTGAAGGTGGTGTGCTCTGGTCTGCCCCCTTTTGGACTTTGTCTGCAGAGTGTACTCAGTGCCCAGAAGCCCACGGATTGTAAAGTTATGTATACCTCTCATATATATGGAGGACAGCCACTCCATGGTTAATTATTGTCTAGCCTCTTCTTCACCTGCTTTCATTCCTAGTCTAAGGCTTAAGTGCTCACGGTTCTGGAAATTGAGCGCTTTGGGTAATGTATGAAGGAGGACTATGTTTTGCTGGAGTAGAGATCAGCCCTGCACAAGCTTCTGCACAGCCCTGTGATGCCTAGTCATGGCCCCTGAGAAGCACGCCTTCATTCTGTTATTACCTGGGCAGGATCCTGGATGTGGGAGAGGCCTGTTTGCTGAGGTTGCACAGTGGCGTCAGAGGTGTCCAGGAATGTTTGAAATCCAGCAGTTGCAGCAAGTGCCGGTGTAGTGAGTGTAGCAAGTGTAATAATCACCTCCTTCCTGGCCCAAAGGTGGCCTACTATGGCCCAAGGCCGAAATTTGCCTGGTTGCTTTGTATGACCTGTGCTGTGCCAAGGATGCATTGCTTTTCAGTGGTTGGTGTAGTCAGTTTTCCATCACTATAACCAGCCCTCCAAGGAAAGGTTTGTGGGACTCAGTGGTAGGGAGTATACTTATTATGCAAGATGCCCTAAATTTTTTTTTTTTCGAGACAGGGTTTCCCTGTGGCTTTGGAGCCTGTCCTGGCACTAGCTCTGTAGACCAGGCTGGTCTCGAACTCACAGAGATCCGCCTGCCTCTGCCTCCCGAGTGCTGGGATTAAAGGCGTGCACCACCACCACCGCCCGGCTTTTAATCCCTAGAATTTAAGGAGAAGGAGTTACAGTGGCTGGCAGTGTTGGAGGTGGTCCTGATGCTCTCAGATCTGTGGTGCCTGGTGGAGATGGCAAGGAGGACACAGCAGAGGAGGCCGCCCACTACATAGCTAAAGAACAAACAGAACCCCCGTCCCCTTAGGACACAGTCCTAGAGACCTAAGGGCTTCCTTCCAGGCTCCATCTCCTAAAGACTCTACCACCTCCCAATAGCAGCACCCTGAGGACCAAGCCTTTGGGGGATATTCTGCATCTAATCTCAAACATGGGTGAAGAAAAAAATATTTTGTAATTTATAAGAATTTGTATGAAATTCCAAGCCAGTGGCCTTTGTTTCCTAAAAGAATAGCCAAGCCGGATTGTTTGTGTGCTGTCCAGGTCTGTACTCCTGCTGAGGAGGCAGATTAAGTCCGGTTCTGTACCCCAATTCTACAAAATTCACTGCTGAACCACCACAGAAGCAGCTCACTGACCCCTCTGCTAGCATGGAAGGGGAGCTGGCAGTGGCTGCAGGGTGTGAGCGGTGATGGAATCTGTAGGTGTTTCCTGGTGTTGGGCTAGGATTTCCTAGCGCCTCCTACCACCAGGTTTTTGACAGGACAAAAGTGTCTTAAGTTTTCTGCTTCTCTTACAGCAAAAAGTTGTGAACACGCAGTGTGGCTATGACGTCAGGATTCAGGTAATATTATCAACATGGAGCTTCAAAGGGCTTTGGGGGATTGTTGCTTAGGTTTCAGTCTGTGGTCTAACCTCCTGCTTCAGCAAAAGTGCAAACTGGAGTGGGGAAACAGGAAGACTCACGTGGGTCCTATCGAAACCTGCAATGAGCTGAGTCTGATCGCTCGTGTGTGTGTGTCACACACACACACACAGACACACACACACACGACTTAAAGCCCTGTGACTAAAAAAACTCTTGTTTTACCAACCCTCTCACTGCATTAGAAATAGTATGGAATTGGAAACAGAAGCTATGTAAGAGTTATCTATGTACAGGAATTGAGGAGAAGGCTGGCTTGTGGGGTGTGTGACTTGCTCCAGCTTCTGCATGGAGGCAAGAACAAGAGGGAGATGCCTGGATTAGGGCGGACTAAAACCCAGTGCTTCTTTCAGACCACATGGAGTTAGGGCTTTGGATGTGTTAAGATAGCCACAAAGGCATACCCTCCCTACTGTGGTCTGTTCTCTGGCAGGTTTTGTTGATATGGTTGGCTGCTGTTGTGAAAGAGGGGGTGTCTGGGAATGTAGAAATCCATCTTCTTGGACACTAGGGCAGTTGATCTGCATTTTTGAAATCTGCTAACCTTAGTTTTATAGGAACAGGTGGGTGTTTTATCTCCCAGAATTCACAAGCTGAAGCCTAGTCCCCAGCAAAGAGATTTCTGACTTTACTAAAAGACCCCGTATGGCCTGGAGAGATGGCTTAGACATAAGGAGCCCTGTTGTTCTTGCAGAGGGTTTGGTTCCTAGCACATATGTAGTGGCTCACAACCATCTGTAACTCCAGTTTCAGAGGATGGATGCTGCCTTCTGTCTTCTGCAGTCACTGTATACACAGGGTATGAAGACATAAATGCAGCCAGAATGCTTACACACATAAATAAATCTGAAAAAAAAAAAATCCCAAGAGCCTTTCACCTCTTCTGGCATGTGGGAATTCAGCGAGAAGACACTTTAACTGGAACGCAGCCCCAGACTCCGAGTCTGCTGTTACCTTGGTGTTAGGCTGCAGCCTCTGCAGTGTGGAGGAAGGAACTTCTGTTGCTTTAGGCCACTGTGCTGCTTTGGTTTGGCATCCCAAAAGGGCACAGCCAGAGAGAGGCATCTGTAATGGAGCCTAGCTTTCATGTTAAGGATCTCATCTCTATGTGAAGACAGGGAGCTCAGTGACAGACAGACATTTATTGTGTCACGACTCTGTAGCCTAAAAGTCCAAGATGAAGCAGTCAGCTGGGTCGACTTTTGGGGCTGCATGGGAAGGAGCTGTTCCCAGGCCTATCTTCTGGGTTTTCACATTCTTCCTCCTCTTCACATAGTCTGCCTCTATATACGTCCCATATACGGACAGCAGTCAGTGGATCAGACTTCATCCTGACGGCCTAGGCCACCTGCAAAGACCCGTTTTCAAATACAGTCACAATCTGAGGTTGGGGGGGGGGGGGCAAGTATGGCACACTGTATCCCATAGTGCCCCTGGCATGAGTTGATGTTTCATCCATGTTGACATGGAGGGAGTTGACGGGGAGGAAACAGGGGCTGATTGCCACTTATGAGGTAGTACGAGCCAAGTGTGTGCTGTTACAGGATCTCCACACATTGCTTTTTCAGGAGGATTGGTAGATGGGGGCCTGGCTGGCTCTGTCTCCCAGAGCCAAACTTACCAGTGGGAGACACAATCTAAAGAGCCCCTGACCTTTCTTCTGTCAACTTCTTTAACTGAGAAAGCTTGGGATCCCCCTTCCTCATCTGTAACTTATATTTCCTAACTAAATGTCAGGACGCGGGTAGCTAAATTTCAAGGGTAGCCCGGGACTTGAGCCCAGGTCCATCCTTCTGGCTGTTGTGCCCTTGTTGTCTCAAGGAGATGTAGACTGAGTTCCCAGAGGGGAGCTGTCGTTTAGATCGGTGATAGATGGAATAGCAGCTGGCCCTGAGAGAGGTCTAGACTGAACCTGGAGTGTGTTTCTCATGGAGGATTTCTCTTGTGTCTTCTCAACCCCCCAAGACCATCATCCACTTGCTGTGCCTGCCCTGCCCCATCCAGAGCCAGGCTCTCTGGAGGCAGGCAGGGATTGTGTGTGCTTAGGCTGAGGCCGCTGTGCTGTTTCTCTGCAGTTGAAGAGCAAGTGGGACGAGTTCATCTTTACAAAAGGATGCATCCAAGCTCTGGAAGGCTGGCTCCCCAGGAACATCTACATTGTGGCTGGTGTCTTTATTGCCATCTCACTACTGCAGGTATGGCCCAGGAAAGAGTGTCCAAGGCTAGTTGCATGTGCATGTATATGTATAGCATGGTGGCAGCTGTACATGTGTGTTGGAGGGTGGACCCAGGATGGGCTATGGCTCCTCTGTCCCCACAGTCTGTTACCTGAAGGGGAGACCTTCTTTAGTTAGGGCGGACAGACAAGACAACTGTGACCCAGTAAGCTTCGTATGGATTGCCTGTGTGGTGGTCAGGGTACTTGGAGTGCATGGCCAGTAACTGTCGCCTCTTTGGGATCCTTCCCTTCTGGTTGATTGCAATAGCAGTATTTAAGGAGGTGTCAGGGGCTCTAGTGAGGGAGGTGACTCTTCCTTCTAGTTGGGGCAATCATCCCAGAACTATTTTGTCCTACACCTGGCTGGGCTTCCTGGAGTCTTCCTCTCACCACAGAGGCCCCTATGTCCCACTGCCTTTTGTGGCTTAAAGCTCTGCCTGTTCAAATACCTCATGTGAACAGACATGGGTAGCCCCGTGGTGAATGAGGTGGCTGGTGCCCATGGGAAAATCTAGAAAAAGTCAAGAACCCAGTTCTTTTGGGGAAACTCAGTTTTACTAGGCCCGTGAGTAAGAGGCACTGGCAGCCTTCAAGCAGCTTCTGTGGCAGTGGAGGCTCTGTTTATGTGTCAGGTGGTTCTGCCTAGAAGAGGTGACTGGAGTGGACCTGGCTGCAGCCACACAACACTTCTTTATTCTTCCCTGTGTCGTTGAGGGACTACAGAAGAAGGCTAGAGAGAAGCTTGTGGAAAAGGAAAGAAAAAGGTTGTGAAGTGGGTAGAAAAATAACTTCAGAGACGGTCTTCAATTATGAAGCGTAGAACTTAGAAGGGGGAGAAAGCAAGCACATCTCCCAAGTGTGTGTTTGTTTAGGTAGAAGAACCTCCCCCTCCTCCTCCTCTCCTCCCTACATTCCTGCCTGCAGACATCAGGGCATGGCTGTGAGACTGTTCTCGTGGGAATGAGGCCTACAGGGTAGCTGGTTCTGAACAGTTGGTGTTATTTTTCAGTTTGACCTAGCACTCAAATAAGTGAGTCCTGCCTATGGTGTGTGGCGTGTTCACTCCCTGGAGGCAGTCTGAGTATCTGTTCTGGCCTGTGGCTCCTGCTCTGATTTCTTCCATGCTTGAAGGATGCAGTAGCCTACCCTGGGCCACGTCAAGCTCTGTTCTCACTTTGCGCTTTGACTGGTAGGTAGGGTAGGTGAGGGAGTCCACGCAGACAGTCCTCACTAGCTCCTCTGCTCCCTGCCCTTGTTTTTCACCGCTGACCTTTGGCTTTGGTTTCAGATCTTCGGCATCTTCCTGGCGAGGACCCTGATCTCAGACATCGAGGCAGTAAAGGCAGGCCATCACTTCTGAGAAGCAGAGGCAGCAAGTGGAGCTGAGCCACATGTGGAGGTGAAGCCACCCACAGTCAGATCCCTGTCTTCAGCAACAGTGTGATGTGACCTCTCTGTTTCTTCTTGCTGGTGCTGAAGACGATGGCCCCTTCTCCTCTGCCCACGCTTGACATGGCAGAGACATGCCCAGAGACAGAGAATGTGGGCTTCATTTGGAGTAGTAACTCTGAGGACTGATGACTCCGATGGCTGCAAGGGGGGCTTGATGGCCCGCTTGGAGCCCAAGAGCATCTACAGGCCCTACCTACTCAGTAAGGCTTAGGTAAATGCTCTACTATTATCTTCTGTGGGTGTAGCATTTGTGTTGGACCAGCAGGTTGAGGACAACTTCTGGCTCCATTGGATCAAGAATCATGGAGCGGGGAGGATAAGTGGTCCAGTGGGTTCCCGAGTGCCAACAGGGTTCATGGTGGTGTCAACATGCCACGGATTTGCAGGATCCTCAGCCATGTCCAAGTGAAGTACGCCTGAGCCAGCCAAAGCAGTCCCAGGGAAGCACCTTGCCACTGCCTTCCAAGCCTACACTGCTCTCCCAGGGTAGAACAGCCTCGTGTCTCCATAGCATTAAGCCCTGCTGAGAGCCAGCTCTCCTGTTCTTAAAACATGTAAATAGTTATTTATAGGGGTAAGAGTGTTCCGCCACCATGTCTTCATTGCCTCTTCTCTCCAGCATTCTTTTCTCAGCAGCCTTACCCAGTGTCTGTTGCCAAGCTGTCCTTCTCCGTTCCCTAAGTGTCTCAAGACCCAGCTGTGACATGCCCACCCCCCCAGTCCACACTCCCTCCATGCACCCTTGCTTGGCTTCGCTGTCTTCTGGTCTCGGTGCTACTGAAACTGCCACCAGGACTTGAATCCTGATTGACCTTTCTCCCCGCTGCCCTCTGGGGATCCCACGTTCCTGATTGTTAGCTGGAAACCAGGTTCCTCTCACGACCACATACAGCTAGCGGCCCAAAGTGTGTTGTCCCTGTAGGGCAACACTCTGCAGCCAGGCCCTTGCGAACCGCAGACACCAGGTGCTGTACAGAAGCTCAGCGCATCTTATTTCTAACTCCTGTGATGACTCCTCCACCCAGATGCCATTCTTCTGCCATTGTGTTCACTGTCAGTCCTGTTCTGGGCTGCTCTTGAAAATGACGTGTGTCTTAAGTACTGGGTACTCCTGAGGCACGCCGGGTGTCTGTCCCCCTTGGGCTGGGCTCCTCTTTAATGCTTCTCTGTAGCTCACTGTCCTCACCGTTCAGGGGTTGAGTGCCTACCTTCAGTTACTTGCCGAGGTGTACATTCTAGTGTGGTGTATACTGGTGATACTGGTGGGTGTGTGTTCATGATGATGATGACGTTATAGTTTTTTAAATAATTCTCTATAGACTAGAGGAAGAAGAATGCTTGTGTTTTTAGAAGTGTGATGCTTCTCTTTGACCTGCCAAACTCTTTTATGGAATATATCTTTATATTAATGCTGTTGTTTGGGTCATTTTTTGTTTGGAATCACTATTAAAAAAAAAAACTTCAAGCATTTTGGTTATAAATTGAGCCACTGAGCTGACCTGAGGCGTCGGGTGTGACAGTAGTTACGGTACATCCTGACAGAGTGCCATATCCTTCACGTGCACCTGACAGTTGAAACTGCGTGGCTGATGCTTTGCCACCCTCAGCTAAAGCATGAACTGTAAAAACTTCCTTTCCAGAACTCCAAGAGGCGTTATTCTCAGTTATCTCAAATCTAACCCTGGTAATATGGTCCATCCGGACAAGAGTGCGCATGGTTCCGGAAAGGACACTACTGTGTGAGCTTTTGGATGGTTTTCTGTTCTAGACAGTGCAGAATCAGATGTTCTCTTTTCCAAAGAGAGACACTTTGGAGGGTCCCGAGGCAGCATGTGGGCTGCTGTCCTTGGAAGGCTCCTAAGCAGAGGGAGGAATACGCAGCCTCGGCATGGGGAGCCACTTGGTAGCTTTCTGGCCCCATAGCTTCAGAGGTGAAAGAACTGTTTGAAATTCCTCCACTGACAAGTGAGGGGTAGAGAACGTGTATGCCCATGGGTGGGCCTTTGTCCCAACTGCAGCACAAATAATAAAAACCCAGAGACAGAAACTGGGGTCCAGAAAAGCAAAGCAGCCAAGCCACTAGAGAAGTCTTCCTCTACCAAGGCTGGGTGACTGCAAACCAAACAGACTAAGCCTCTCCCTCCTCTCATTTTAGATTCCCTTTAGTGCTGGGATTAAAGGTGGGAGCACCACCACATGGGTTTGTTTCTGCATTGATCTTGTGTAGCCAAGGGTTGCCTTGAACTCAGAGATCCATCTGTTTCTGTCTCCACAATGCTGCTGGGATGAAAGGTGTGTGTCACCATTGCCTGACCTCCAGTGCCTTTAGCTTTGCCTCTGGTCTTCAGGAAACATTATTAAAATACAAATAATAGACGACTATACCCAGCGTTACATTTTTCTGTGTCCTTGAGGATCATGGGTACCACATTGTCAGCCTTGAACTGTGGGGTACCCTACCTCCCATCATGATCTTAGTTGAGATGCTTGTGTTAAGTCAGAAGGATGCTGTCCAGCCTTCTGAGCTGAGCTTATTTAGTGTGCAGGAGTTGCCCTTCATCCTCATGAAAGGACTGTCCCTTTAGTCAGTCACTTTTGGTGTCTCCAAGGATCCTCTGGAAAAGGTGAAATGAGCATTATAAAAGTGGCGCTAGGGACAGGAAAGATGATGTAGCAATTAAGAGCATTTGTTGCTCTTCTAGAGGACCCAGGTTTGGTTCCCAGTACCCACATGGTAGCTCACAACCACCTGTGACGCCAGTTCCAAGGGATCCAGCACCCTCTTATGCTGTCTATGGACACCAGGCACACATGTGATGCACATACATACAAGCAGACAAGCTGCTCATATATATAAAATAAATCTTAAAAAAGCGACAAAAAGCCCTGGGGCTAAGGTGTGACTGTGGGGGGGGGGAGGAGAAAGGGTTAAAGAATGCCCTTAAGTGGATGCTGTCTGAGTTTTGGGGACCCTTACCAACAGTGGGGGTGCTTTCTTTGGAGTGGCAGGATACAAGCACTTCCTGCAGAGCTCGGAGACAAAAACTCCTTCACTTGGCTTTCTTCTGTATTCTGTACCTCACATCCCAGCAGGGGCTTCAGAAACATAGCTTAATGACTACCAAACTAAATTATCACCTTAGACCATCATTTTTGTCACCTCAGACTTTTAAATTTCATTTTTTTAAATCATAAGTAAAAGCTGTCTAGAGTGTGAAGTGAGAGGCATGTTTTCTATTGCCTGAAGACACCCACTCCTAAGGATCCTTCCAGAAAATGTTCTGGATCATTGTCCAAACGGGGATCATTTCTTTGCAGCTTTCTATGGTTCCTTTTACTTAGGGTATTGATCTGTGGTGCCTTCATTCGGTCAAGCTATCCACGGTATGATATGCCACAAGTGAGTGGACGTTGGTCTTCAGGGGATTATGTTTGCAGTCCCAGGTAACAGGAAACCCCGCTAAAGCAACCTGAACAATGAGCGGAGGGTTTTGGCTCCTGAAACTGGAAAGTCCAGAGGTGGAGTGAGTTCCAGGGTTGGCGTGATCCAAGGGACTCAGTGATGTCAGCGGGATCTGGTTTCCTTTTCTCTGTCTGCCACAGGGTCTCCATTGTTGGAGGCTGAGGCAGGGCCTGCTTCCCTCAAGACAGCCTCTAGTCTCCATGATGGGGCTTCATGGTTGTGGAGTCAAGGAGGGACTGTCCTCCTCTCCCCGTGACTGCTCACGGGGCTTCAACCACATGTTAGGAAATAACTCTCAGTTGGGGCGTGAGCAGTGGGAATGCCACTCACTTCCCCTCATCCTCCTGTGGGTATGTTTTGCTCTTAAAGTGTTCATTAAAACAAAACAAAAAAAAAATTGCAGAATGGCTGGGGAGATGCTACTGGGAGCAGAGGGGCTTTTTTTGTAAGCCTGGAGAACCTGTGTTTGCACAAATGTCTGTAACTCCACAGCCCCTGCCAGGACATATGTGGTACAGACAGGCAAATTCACAGGAAGCTGTGAGTCAGTTCGTCTGGCCTAATCAGTAGAACAACAGAGAACCCCTGTCTGAAGAGGGGAGTCAAGGGCCAACACCAGGGCTTGTCCTCTGACCTCCATATATGGGATGTGCCTTACCCACCCACATCTGCTGTCATGCATAGGCGTGTGTCGTGTACCTAGATACTCACACATCATTCACCAAGGCGGGGGACTGCAGTACTTGTTATTCAAATAACTTAATAGGATAGAAAATATTTTTAAGGGGCTTCAGGTGTGCACGTGTTAGAAAGTTCTAGGGGCTGACTGCCCAGTCAGGTCACTACTTACTGCCGGTTTGTGGGTGAATGTCTCCAGCTGCCATGCCGCATTCTTTCTGTTGTAACATAGGAATGGTAGCTCCATCCCTTGTGGAACTTCAAGGGTTAAATGAGTTGAGGTAGGTGAAGGCTTTTAACATTTAACCTTGCATGTTTCTCTGGAGCTACATTTCCACCAGCTGAGCCATGAGGAGTGTCCTACAGCTTGAGTTCTGTGGTAAGCTGAAAGGAACCAGTCACATGTCAGTCACTCTAGGAACGAGTCTTTGAGGTTTGCTGGGAACTTCAGCAGGGCTCTGGAGCTCAAGGTCCCTTTGCTTTCTGTGCTGTAAGGATAGTGGGGGGGGGGCGCACTGGTTCCTACAGGAGTATGGATCCTGCCAGAAAGCCACCCAAGTAAAGGAGTTTTCCCTGGGTCCCCAGAACCTTATTAGCAGTGCTTTGGGACCCAGGGTGAGAAGGTGGCAAGGACATTCCCTCTGGAGGTCAGGAGCTTGGGGTCTCCTCTTGGGAACCCCAGCACTCCCACTCTCCAGGGGCTTAGGGCGCGCAGTGGAAAGAGCTGGAATGTAGGTGTAGTTGTGGAGCCTAGTGCTAGCTGATGTGTTTTGAATGCCAGGTCATCATGTTTGCAAGCTTGGGAGACCCCATCTGATCCCCGTCCTGATAGGGAGGACAGGCCCTGGGAATTGCTGGGTTCCGAGGAAGAGACGGCACACTCCTCAACTCCAGAGGGAAAGCGTGTTCATCCCAGCTTCCATGAATAACCAGACTCTCACTGTCAAACCAGGGAGTGGGTTGCTGTGCACTTTCCTGGGTGCGAAGAAAAACTGGTGTGAACGTATAGGGGAAAACTTCCAAAGAGCCAGGAAAAGTCAGGTCACATGTGCCACTTGTGATTGTGTTTGTCTAGAAGCAATGGGAGTGTGAAGTCTTCTCCACAGCCTCACTGCTGGGCCTGCATCCTCATCCTCCATGCCCAGCCCCTTCAGCCTTGTGCTTTTACAAAAAAGTCTGGATTATATGTTTATAGATTCCCTTTGTCCTAAACAGTCGTCACCTCTCAGCAGGATGAATCAATGTGATGTTATCCGCATTTAGATTGTGTTCCTTATGTAAAGTTAGCACAGCCATGGGCCATATAGAACGTGTTGCAGTAGCCTCTTTGAGGGACTGAGTACCCCGTCCCTGAAGATGTAGAAAGAGGCATGGACACCTGTCCAAGCATGGGATTGACAGCTGGTAGGGTTTTATATTTCATGGACTCAGATGAATCTTTTCACCTCCAATAGTCAGTGGTCCTCATGCCAAGGACAGTATTTTTAAAGGATTCATACATGTAGATAAGCACATGTGAAGATTGGTTTAAGTTTCAGATCATTAACTGAGGGAGGTGGAAAGCTTAACAACCAATTCAAAGGAGGATCACAATGAAACATCAGTCATTATGGAGTAAAACAATACCGAAACGGTTCTTCAGTAGAAAAGGTATCTGCTGAGTCCCGTCTGGATGTATTAGATGCACATCTATCTGCAAGAATAAGTCTGCAAGGCCGGGCGATGGTGGTGCACGCCTTTAATCCCAGCACTCGGGAGGCAGAGGCAGGTGGATCTCTGTGGGTTCGAGACCAGCCTGGTCTACAGAGCTAATGCCAGGACAGGCTCCAAAGCCACAGAGAAACCCTGCCTCGAAGAACCAAAAAAAAAAAAAAAAAAAAAAAAAGAATAAGTTTGCAGTAACTACAGCATAGTTGTAAAATACCTCGAAGATAATGAAAGTCTGGAGACTCGGAAAGCTGTTGGATTGTGTCCTAAATGACATAGGTTTTTATTGGTAACAGCCAGGATATTTTGCTTGTTCCAAACGTCTAACTAATCTTGCAGAGCTGACTTTCAAATAGGACCCCAGGCAGGTTATCCAAAGGAGCTGTTGATTCATGGTGAAAGGTGCTTGGTATCCCTAGCCATCCCAGGTAAAGGCCAACGACCACGGAAGGTGTTCGGGTGCCAGTGGTCCTGTGTATATGGATGGTTCAGGCCATGAGTGACACTCAGTGGCCTGGATGTCTGCAGACACCTCGCTTTCTGCATGCCTCGCTGCTGAACTCACCCTCCCCAACCCCAAAGGCAACCCTCTGTCTACCAGTGGCCAAATCCAGGAA